TACTGCCAAGGAAACGCTGATGAGGCGTTCTGGTCGCTCTGAACTTAATACGCGGGAGAAGCGTCGCAAACGATCGTCTAATATTCTAGACAGGACACCAGAAGAGAGCGGTCACCCGGACGGTGCGCGAGAGCATGTTCACTCCAGAGCTGGCAATATTGTCGCTCCCCCCCCTCCTCCTCCTCCTCCTCCTCCTCCTCCTCCTCCTCCTCCTCCTCCTCCTCCTTTCGAAATAGCAGAGGTACCGCCGTCATCAAGGCCTCCATCCATTGAAGAATGGAACATGTCCGATATTTTCACCTTTCCAAGCCCGCGTGATAGCTCACGGGAGAATCTCTTCCCCCCTTGGTGGGTATCAGATAGCGTTGTTCCTTCGATTCCCAATTTGACCGAGTATTTCCAACTGCCTGTCAATGGATCAGCAAGCCCGGGCGATCAACCCGGAATCCCCAAAGATAGAAGCGCACCCTCAGGACTCGAGTCTCTGCGCGACATTACTCAAGACCTCTCCAACGTCAACCTGTCGTTATTGGACCTCAAGCAATCCCTCCACGCCGAGCCATGGGGTCCGATGTTTGCATCTCCAGCCGCCGTGATCACTAAACTAAGCACCTGTGGCAGTGGTGACCAGCTGGACGGCACGCTCGCTCACGGGTATCCATTGATCGAGATATTCAAGAAAACACAGCGCTTCATCGACATTGCAAAGCAAACAAGTGTTTATTTCGCATCACTGCCCACCACGTCTGCATCAACGTCGACCTCGTCCTCCACAGGCCAGCCACCATCACATCCAGACAGCAACGGCACCTCAAGCCAGGGGTCATCACCTTTCTCCCCACAAGTAGATGGACATCTTCCGTACCCTGCGTCTTCAACCAGCACAACACGTGGAAACCGACTAGTCCGCACAGCAAGCAGCTGCGATTCACCCACCGCGCTTCTCCTCACTGCTGGCTACGCGCGGATTCTCGACATTTATCTGACCGTCCTGACGCAGACGTCGCGTTTTGTTCACGCACTCTCCGTGCAGTCGAGGTCCGGGGGCCCGGACTATCGCCAACGAATGCACCCGGTTATTCCACCGTTGCAGTGGGGTGGATTCCGGCCTGCAAATTACGGTGCCTTGCAGATATTAATGATCATCCAGGTGATCTCCTATCTCCTCACGGAGGTTGAGCGGGCCCTTGGCGTCGACGAGTGGGAGCATGAGATGATGGCGCGAGAGCGATCCCAATCTGCGGAGAGGAGATCCCACTCTTATCCTCAGGTGCATGGGCAGTCCTGTCGAAGTGATGATTTCGAGGGAGACCGTGTTGTTCGAACTGGGGGGAGGTTGCTCAGCCCTGCTATGATTGAGCTTGTCGTTAAAGGGGAGGAGTCAGGAAACAGTGACTGCCAGAGGGGGAAGGTTGGGGTCTTGCGGAGAGAACTCCGACAGCTGAAGGAGGAGATTGAGAATAGTATGCACATTTAGATAGTAAAGTCTACTTACTACTCTTGGTTGTCTGGTAATTAGCACAATTGAAAACAGAATATATCTCTCCAAACGGGAAAGTAAGCCAGACCTTCCCTGCATTGAATTGCGTAGATGAGTGAATGAAGTAAAACTCTACCGATGCCGCACCGAGAGTATGTGCTGACGCCGAACAACTCTTGCAATATAGGGATATTAAGACTAAAACGTCAAGAAAGCCTCATACCCACACAACAAGCCACAAACCATTCATCAATCCAAGGGAAAGAAGTTGGTCTATAAGGTTCGAAAGTGATTATTGGCTTTGTTTTTGGCTTGTTGGAGATCGATGTTCATATTGAGAGTGAGATTGTCAGTAGATGCCGAGATGGTAGTGTAAAGGAACCAACACTGCTACTGCTTCCCCTTGATATCAGTCACCTCCCACTGCAGTCCTGCCTTCTCCAGCCGCTGCACGTACTGAATCCCCAACGAAGCCGGGGTAAGAATCCCACCCCCCAATCTTTTGACCAACGACTCCTCTTCTTCCTTCCCCTCCAGGATTTGCAGCAAGGTCAACCCCGCTTCACTGACCAGTATAGCACAAACACTGTACACATCGGTGTCCATGCGCATGACACCCAACACACTCGGTTCTCCGCCTCTATCAGCCGCCTCAACCGTGGCCTTCCATTCTACGAAATGCTTCTCCCCATGTTTCAACTGCGGTCCTGTCCCCGGCTGCGGGGCTAGCCACCTCAGCAGCGACCGGAGAGGTGGAAGCAGCACGATCCAGACCAGCGCGACAGACATGACGAGGAACGAAGACCACGCCTGCAGCCAGCCCGACGCGGCGGTATAGCCATGGTAGCTGAATCGGTCACCATATCGCTCGGCGGGGTCCCCGTACCGCTGGAGGAGTGACCAAGTGCGCATGACGACAAGTTGGTCCGCTACTGCGGAGGGGTTGAAGGTGAGGTCGCCGAGGAAGCGATTCAGTTGGACGGGGAGCTTCGGAGCGGTGGGATGAGGCCGATGCGGTCCAGCGTCGGGAATACAGGATGCAAGTGGTGAACTGGCGGACATCATCTGGCGGAGAGAGTATGTTTCTAGGCCGGCGAGGATGCTTTCAATGGCGCCTCCGCTGTGGCCGGTCCAGGAATGGTGGATTGCGAACAGCACGGGGCCTAGGGGTTGGCGGATTCGTCGTGCTAGGAGAAGTGTCATTAGGTCCGGGGGGCTTGCTGCGACGGCGCAGTGGGGGATGATCTGTTCTTCTTAGAATATCTTCTTTTCTTTTTGTATATTGTTCTTGGGGCGGGAGGGGGTACGATTGCTCTGTTGGCGATCGCCTTGTCGTGCCACTGTGCTGCCAGCTGCTGCGTCCAGACGGGTTCCCCTGTGCTATCCACATACGCGGTGGAATGCTCTATACAGGCTGCCACAACAGGTGTCCCGTACTTGCAAAAAGGCTATATACTGCCTGTCAGCTTTCACTTTGATGATAAGTCGGTACTAGACAGCAAAGAACATACTCCGACTGTGTTGAGCACAAGGCGTGTTTGGGAGGCCATGTACCTCAAGTCCTTGTCGCTATTGGTGGCCACCATGATATGAGGCAGCTGATGGAGGGAATTGGATCGATCCAAGGAGTCGACGACAGTCGTCAGCTTCTGCTCATTGCGTCCAGCAACTGCCCATCGGAGGGTTGGTGGACCATGAGTCCACAGGTACTGCACCACCAGCGAGCCAACGTAGCCGGTAGCACCATAGACAATCAGGTCATATGGGCAGTTCATCTTGACAGAATATATCAGTGACAATAATTGAGGTAGGAGAGTTGTTGTGACCGACTGTACCCATTAAATAAATGCATCATGAAGGAGATGGCGCACCTCTCTGCTAACCATTTCGGGAAAAACCCTCCGAATGTGTGCATCTGAACTACATCACCGTTGACATATAAGAAGTATTTCTGAGAAATACATATGGCGACAATCATACTACCAAATGCCCTGTGTCCCATACTGAAGTTGTCTATTTTATTATTGCTGTATCACCGTCTATGTTGTAAATTTCCCTTCGATCGGTGCGTTTAAACCTAACTGGAAATTCACCGAAGCCGAACATAATACTATTTATTTCAATCATACTTAGTCCCATCAACGCTTACTATGTAATTAATGCGGGCAGGTGCCATTAATATTAGAGCCTGGCTAAAATATTCTCTCAAGTGCGCAAATTCATGTGTAACTAGTAATTCAGAAGTTTGCCCTAGTACACGCATAAAGCTCTAATTACAGTCGACGAGCATAGTAACCTAGTTAACTTGTTACAGCCACGAGACTCCCTGGAAGGAGGAAAGATATATAGCTAAGCTAGGCTGAAGCCTTCTCTCTTTCAAAGAGAGATAGCTCACTGGTACGTCTGTAATAGTATGAGTAGTAGCTGTGATAATTGCTAGTTTATTCATAAGAGTTTCCAGATCCCGCTGGCGCGAGTGCTCTTCAGATCTAAATCGAAGGAACCATACATCTGGACTGCATTGGCACACCCATCAGTCATTCAGTTAAAAATAGATAAACCGAATTCTTGAGCCCATCGTCATCATCGGCAGCTGACACCTTGAGTTCCTGAATCATTCGCCAGCCTCCATGGCTATACTGACTATGTAGTTTCTTGAAGTGATACCCCCCTTACTGCTATACAATCACGTGAATCGGGTGTCATCGACCGGCGACAGACCTCTTGAGAGCCTGGATGTTTTCTCCTTTATCAATTGATTTTGTAGCTGATTTTGTAGCTTTGAAATCTGTCCCTTGATTAGGGTTCTGGTTAAGAACATCAGATACGATATTTACATCACATAACCTCCCAAGGATTTACAAATATTGGTGGATTTGGCAACCATTCTCTCATGTCCGCAATCCGAAAGCTCAGCGAGTCGGCTTACATTTTTCTAGACATTCAAGACCACACACTGGATGGCATTGACAAAGTTTCACAGGGTCGAGATGGCACCCCCGAGTTAGATCTCAATGCCCGGCCCCCGTGCTATGGGCTGGGGACTCTTGAGACACTCCCCCTTGAAGTCGTCCACCTGACGCTCATCCAGCTGGACATGCAGTCCCTGATTGATTTTCGACGCGTCAATAGAAGGGCACGGCAGGTCGCGGACTCAGTCCCGCAGTTTAGACATATCCTGGCTCAGGTACCAGCTTCGATACGTGCCAGCCTTGGCCTAGAAACAGCTCGATACTTTTCATGCCAGGAATTGTACCAGACACTATGCACAGCTGAGTGTGAGAGTTGTGGTGATTTTGGTGGATATCTGTATCTATTGACATGTCGTCGCGTTTGCTTTCTCTGTTTCACCGAGAAACCTGACTATCTTCCCCTGTCACGGAAAGTTATTATTCGCAAATTCGGACTGGGATCTGCACATATAGCACTGCTACCTCGAATGAGGAGTCTGCCAGGCTGCTATTCACCCAGAGAGCTCAAATGCCGGCGGCGAGAGACCTTATTCGATCATTTTGCCGCCCGACAGGCTGGAATCACCCTTCATGGGTCACCCGATGAGACGGAAAGACACACCTCGGCAACCGTCCTTGAGAGACGCGAAGCCTACAGTTCACGAGTTTCCCTTCGCAGATCAGCCACCAGGCGCCTGCGGCCGCCCAGATCTGAAGATTCTTTTGATGGATACTCATCCAACCCCAAGCGTTTCATGGGGATTATACGTGCTCCGTTCCTCTACGGCCAAGAATTCTCGCCTGAGTGGGGATTCCACTGTCTAGCTTGCAAGCTTCATCATTATTGTCGACCATTCCACTGGCGTCGCTTGTACACATCTGAAAGTTTTCAAGGCCATATTTCAGAATGCGGACCGATAATAGATGGGAAACACGTTGGAAGGTAGCCAGCCACAATCAGGGCAAAATCCAACAAAAGAGCTCCTATAATCGGGCATTTCGCCTTCTTCGTCTCCCAAAGTCCTTCTATCTGCGCATCTCGTCCGTGCCAGGCTTCATCCAAGCAGTAATCCAGCGACAACCAGGCCCTGGATACAGCCTTTCGGATTAATACAACCACATGCCATCCCGAGCAGTTCCCTTTCCGTAGGGAAGGGTTCAAGCTCGAAAGAAGAACCATCGCCAATAAATAGTGACATGATGATTGTGGTATTCATGCTAAATTTCTATACTGCCGCGATCATGCGTTTGACCTCAACAATGGTGAGACCTTGCAAGCCTCCGTCCGCACTTTGTGCTCTGCTACCATACCTATACTGGCTACGTAGAGATCAAAGTGCATGCTGAATGCGGGAATAATAGTGGCTGGCCTGCTAAGCCGACATCTAGCCTTCCGTCGTTATCTATGGTGTGAAGAAACAGTGTACAGTGCGACATGGCTATGCAATGATATATATACTAATGATACATGGCCCATCAATGAGCCAAGCGGACTCGTGACACACATCAGTCTAGACCTCCGCTCAACGGGGTTTGGTGTTCAAGGGAAGGGGCGGTGGCGTCGGGGCTGACCCGGCGACAGGCGTTGAACGCATTCCCGCCTTCTTCGGGGGAGGAGGCGGCGGTGGAGCCTTTCGTTTACTCAACGTATCCGTGTCAAGACTGGATGTCGAACTATTTGCATTCGGGTGAGGTGGCACCGGAGGTGCTGGAGTGCTTGGAGTCTTCTGGTCGTCGAAAAACTTGTTGACTCTTTGAGAAATCCCGTACTTCTCATTTAGCCCATTCAGCTTCTGTTTTCCCGCTTGGATCTTGTCATTATGCCGCTCCCGAAAATCACTGACTGTAGAGGAACCACTTCTGGGCTCAGGTGTTGATACAGACTGGGCCGTACTGCCATTCGTATATGTTCGCGCTGGCGGCGGCGGAGGAGCAGGAGAGTTCGACGAGGAGGTCCTCAATTGTGAAAATCGGGTTTGCAATTCGTTCACCGGTGCTTGACCGATGGCGCCTGCAACTGCTGGAGACGCAGTACTAGGAGGACTGCTATCTCTTCCCCACTGACCGGCATTATTACCTATTCCAAGTGCAGGTACTGACACACCAGCTTGGGCAAGGCGGGAAGTAGCGCCTTGGTTTATGTATTCTTCGGCATGCGAGGGTGTCTGCGAATTGGGGGAATAAGCTGGGGGTGGGGTAGGCGGATGCGGGGATGGGGTCGAATTGTTGCGAGACGGAAGTCGCGGCGGAAGATTGGGTTTGGGTCTGGAACTGGGGGGTGGTATGGGATCTGCTGGAGAACCCATGCGTCTGACTGGGGGCGGCGGAAGGTTGGAAGTGTCCAGACCCGTCCGATTCGCACGATATGGCAGCGGTGGGGGTGCTGGCTTTTGAGCAGCCTCCTCCTGTAATTGCATTTGTTGTTGCTGCTGTTGCAATTGAGCATTTTGATGATCGATCTGTCCTTGTGGCAACGGAGCACCTAGTCCTCTCCGATCCGGCGTTGTCTCATTCGGCAGAGCGGCAGCGCCATGATATTTGATATGCTTCGGCGGTGGTCCAAAAGATGCTGGGTCCTTGAGCGAAGAAAGAGGCACCGCAACATGCTCCTCACGATCGTTAGTGTTGTCCTTCCCCTTCCCCATCCATCCTGCCTAGAATGAGGTAATTTCACATCAGCTAGTGGCCTGATAGGAGCCGGGGGGGGAGGTGGAAGACACTAACCACTTGGTTTATGCCTTTGAAGTCATTCCTCCAACTTTCCTTCTTTCCGTCCTTACCCTTAGGGTGCCAGCCCTCTTTCATGACCCCCTTGAAGCCACTCATGATCTGTAACAGCGGCGTTGAACCAGCAAATGAGTTGTTTCAGGGAACTACTAGGTAGTTGCAATGACGCCGATCCGACCGGGACCGGAGAGATAAGAAGAGCGAGGCAGTGCCGTGCCACTAGTCTCCTTTCAGCAAGCGGTCCGCATTCCACCCCGCGCCTAACCGGATCCGGCCATCTCCAGTTTCCGGGGTCATGTGATGGCCATTCGCTGGATTTACGAACTGCTTCAAGTCATGCATTTCCCTTGCTTACTCCTCTTACATGCTTGGACTGCATAACTAAGTTATTTTCATCCCATAAACACACCGGCTGGTCACCCGGAGTAAGTGATGATCTCACATCATCCCCCGGGGTCTCCCTATGCCGCAGTATAACTGGCTGCCTGCGATGGTCAAGGATCCTTTGGCCCCCATGTCGGGGCCACGCAACGCTGCTACGTCTTCGGTCTCTTAACGCGACGAGCTAATGCGTCGATCAGACTAGCGGGCCGATGATTGGAGCTAAGTCACTCCCTCTCAGGGCTACTAAATTCGCGGCCCTATGAGCACCATCCCACCTCGCAGCCAAAGGAAATTATTGTTTGGATGCCTGCTAGGCGCCTTGTCTTTCATGTCTCATAGGGCGGATATATAAACGGTCCCGGTCCACGACAGCGCTAGACGGAACCCCCCTCCCATACTAAAAGCCTGTCAATGTCGGCGCCTATCGTAATTACATACTAACTGAGCCTCGGGGAGGAGTGGCTTGTCCGTTGTTTCGTCTCTGTTGACTAACGGATGCGAGATGCATGCGTGTCGTCCTGGATGGTGGGCAGCGCTTCGTGCTGTGCCGCCAACTTCACTGCTGATTGGCAGTGAGCGACCCTCCGTCCGGATCTATACTTGGTACCCTCAGTAGTCCTTCACTAGGAGCTGCTGCGCCATGTCAGCCTTCCTTTGTGTTAGCTTGGGCGATATTCTTTCCCCATCTTTATTTCCTGGGCAGGATCCGTGCTTTTCTTTCATTTCTCCCCGTATATTCTCATTTCTCACATACGCATAGGCGTGTATAGGCTCTTTGTTTGCCCTGTGACTGGCATGCCTGGGTGTTCCCGACGTACATTAGTATAGGAAGCCTTTTCAACAAGAGCCTGCAGAATCAGCCTGAGGGCTTTCATGTGGTAGGTGCATGCTCATACTATGATTCTCAAAAGTCCCATTGTTTAATCATGCTATAGTCGAGTCCGGCATATTCCACCTTGTTTCATTAAATTATCGCCCTTCTATAGGGCCACTACATTCCTTAAACATTATCACCCACTGCCCACCTTCCTTTGTATCTCGGCACAACGCACATATAAAGCCCCCATTGTTCTGCACCATCACGTAGGCGGGTTAAAATCAGTCGAGAACAGAACTTGAGCATTGGCAATATGGCCGGCATAGGCGGAGGCTCTAACTATGGCCCAGGCGGGGATTCAGAATTTACCACCCAAAACCCATGGGGATCGGAGCGCACCACTACAGCAGAGTACTATCCTGGAGAAACCACCAGGACCACTACCCAACAATGGACTCCGATCACCACCAGCGAATCAAGCTCGCAACCCCCCACCACCACCACCACCACCACCACCACCGCAACTACGACCCATTCATCCTCAACCTCCTCGAGTACCTCCACCACCGCTGTTAAAAGCACCAGCAGCACCAGCAGTTCCTCCAACAACACCAAAACCATCGCTATCGCCGTTCCCGTCGCCGTCGTCGGCGCAGCAATCATCGCAGCCCTACTATTCTTCATCCTAAGACGCAGGCGTCAACAACGCACCCGCTCCATCATACCACAAACCAACAATGACAACCCCCAAGTCAGCATGGGTGCAGTCCCCCGCCAAGTACGATCACCTCCACAACAACGACGACCACAGCAAGCAGCGAACGGCGCAACTTGGGAGTTTGCACCCACCAATTCCCACGACATCCCTTTCACAGGTCCCATCCCAGGTCGGCCCGTCCCAGAAGAAACCGAGCATATTATCCCTACCAACAATCAGCCCCGCGACTTTAGCCCACCAACTACAAATAATCACAACTTCCATACCGCCGCTACTGCCGCCGCAGCAGCAGGAGCTGGAACAGCAGCAGCAGCAGCAGAAGTCCCCAACAGAGACAACAACAGCTACGAGAGAAGCCCCCAACCTACCATGCCAGCCGCCTGGCCCTCCCCCGAAGCAAGACTCGACCGTCCAATATCGCCCTTCGATCATCCACTCGACGACGCCGTATCTGAGATATCGCGTCGATCGTACACCCACGCTAGGGACATGGATGATGTATCGTCTGTATCGTCATTTGAGGATGATGAGCGGAGACCGGCTATGCATCGTTGAGATACCCAGTTCTTAGTCATGGCTTTTGTAATTCCCTTGTTTCGTTATTTAGCAGGCAACTGTCGCTTCTGCTTAGGAGGGTGGAGATACCAAGTCGCTACTCATTCGCTTTGCATAGTCTGTCTATTTCTTGTCTCGTTTTGTTAAGATACGTACGTACGTACGTGCGTGCATACATACATACCCACTCTCGCTATTGTACATACATGCATATTGGTATCTGGAATCCGGACTCTAGTATTTTGATGGATGAAGGGATGGGATACTGCTTGTGAAGCAGGCGTTCATGGGTCAGCAGATGAAACAAAAATAATTTGATTGGAAGCCGCGCTTATTTTATTATGACACTGTTCAGAGACATTCTATGCTTGTGTCGTTACCAGTAGTACTAATAACATGTATCCTGGATTCAACATCGATGCGGAGTAAAATGCGAGTGACAGACCTGAAACTTACTAGTAAGACTACTGGAGATGTACGAAGGTCTCTCAGTTAAGCATGTAGTCTCCGCTAGTACTCATTGAATTCCTGTCTTTCCCTATATCCCCGGTGTTGAGGGGATACAGTAAGCTACGACCACAGAAGCTGCTATTACTCAAATGCACACGCCAATATGTCGATCCATCTCCCTGATCACGAGCTCTAGGCTCAACTGCATGACATTGATGATGATCACAGAAAGAATACGAGAGATGTGCGTTCTGACCCGTCAGGCTCAGAATCCTCGTCCGGGGCCAAATGGCTCACTAGGCAACTTCCGCTGCGAGGAGTCAATTACAACCTGGAGTGGGACGTAGGGCGATGTCTGGTAGATTCGTTTCTCTGCAAACTAACAGTACTTCCTACTACGTACCTATCTACTTGACTTCTGGCCAATGAGGGCACAGCTGCCGCATTTGTCGAGTCAATGATGGTTGAGTGATGTCAGACGCTGAGTCAGCCCCACGAGTCATGTTGCAGTCACGGGATCCACCCAACTGCTTCTGGAAGGCCGGAAATCAACTTGTTGGAGAAAACCAAAACCCAATGAAATGGGATGGTTGTCACTTCCGCCCGGTTGATGTCATGCCGTTTTAAGGCGACTCAATTCCTTGCGGGTTGTTGCGCATGGTGATTGATAAGAAAGGAAGTGTATTGGGGCAATGGGGGACTATCTGTAGCTGAATGGGAGATGTTGTACCACTGGTTTCATGCGGTTGAGAGTAATTGCGGAGGGTGATGGTTCGGCTTGTCGAGGCGGAGAAATATCCAGTGATCCCGGGCAGGTCATCATATGTGAGATCTTATATCATCTCCAAGACTCCAACAAAGGCAGTCTGCTTGTATAGGATGAGGATGACTTCCTTCGAGGGGCCCCAACCCCTATGCAATTCCCAATGCCAATCCATCATCTTCATCAGCATCTGTTCACAAGCATGCCAGAGCTCTCCAGTAACGCTTTGTTGGGCCGAGGCTTGAAGGTCGCCGATTTCCCAACAAAACGCTGCGCGGCTCCACTCGCCGCGATCATCGCGACTCTCATTGATCCACGGTCCAGCTGCAATCCGGAGATTGACTGACCTCAATTATGAATTAATCACTGCGGCCTTGCTTTAACTCCTTGTCACCAGCGATCACCGTTCGTTCGACCAACCGTTTCCAATCCTCCTCCTCCTCTCCTCTCCTCCATGCTCTCGTAAGGTTTTGGTCGCGCCTTACAATTGCTGCGTATCCCCAGTTCACAGCGGGATTTGCGCGCTCCCCTCCAGTCGTCCGAGTGGACTTGGCCTGGAAATTTTTCTGGTGATTTTCTTCTTTCCGGCTCGGACTAACACAGACTTGTCCCACTCGTCCTCTACGCCATTTATTCTTAAAGAGTCGCCGGTCAATTCTCATCCTCTTCCCTCCTGATCCTTCCTTCTATCTTCCCATCTGTATCTTTTCACCTTATCGTCGCGTCGTCTCAAGTCGCACGAATCGCGTCCCGACCATGTACGACTTCACCGTCCACGGCGAGGCGAACCCAGCCGTCATTCGCGTCGGCCTGCCTCCTTCGTCCCTCTTGAAATTCCCTCCCAGCGAGCTCCCGGCAACAGTCCCCGCTCCTGTGATCTCCGAGCCGACATGGAACCAGCCCTTCAACATCCCGCCGAAGCTCTACAACCAGCTGTTGGACGTGCGCGTTCCGATTACAATCGCGAGTGTGTACGCTGTGACGGTGGTCCTCGTCAATCGCCTTAACAAGAGTCGGGGCTACAAGCCTTACGGATTCAGCCAGACGCGTCTCTTCAAGCTTTTCGTCATCCTCCACAACGTTTTCCTGGCTATTTACTCGGCATGGACTTTTGCGGGCATGATCCGTGCGTTCCGCAGCTCATGGCCCAGTCGGGATGATCCCAACTACGTCGCAGCTGTTGCCGATACGCTGTGCAAGATCAATGGACCCCGGGGTTACGGTAACGCGGCTACGTACGACACTACCGTTGACCAGTGGACCTTCCGCAACCCCGAGTTCAGCCTGGCTGCAGGAGGTGTTCCGGACCCCTCCGATCTTGGTCGTCTCTGGAATGAGGGTCTGGCCTTCCTCGGCTGGATCTTCTACCTGTCCAAGTTCTACGAGGTCCTTGACACCGTCATCATTCTGGCCAAGGGTAAGAAGAGCTCGACCCTGCAGACGTACCATCACGCCGGTGCCATGATGTGCATGTGGGCGGGTATCCGTTACGTCGCAGCTCCTATCTGGATCTTCACCTTGGTCAATTCTGGAATTCATGCTTTGATGGTATGTGAAACGCGCCCCGTATTGTGTTTGGTTTGTTGCTCATATGTTCTGACCGTCAAATGCAGTACACCTACTACACTGTGACTGCTCTGCGCATCCGCGTCCCCACCGTGATCAAGAGATCCTTGACCACCATGCAGATTACCCAGTTTGTCATTGGCTCTGCCATGGCTGCCTCCTACCTGTTTTTCAGCTACACTCTTCCTGTGGGCCAGACCGCTCCGGCCTCTCCTGTTGACACCCCGACTGTGCCGGCGGGTACTGCCGGTGCTGGACTTGTGCCATGGCTCAAGAAGCTCGGGTTCCGCGCTGCGGGCGCGGAAGGTATTGCCGAGAACGTGGGCGTCCCGGAGGCTGCTGCTGGTGTGCGCGTCCTTCATGTCGGACCGATGGTTACCTGCATGGACACCAGCGGCCAGGGTTTCGCCATCTGGCTCAACGTGATGTACCTTTTGCCTTTGACCTACCTCTTTGCCCGGTTCTTCGTTCGTTCGTACCTCTACCGCAAGGAGCCCGGTCCCCGGCAGCCGACTCAGCTGCACGCCGCTGAGAAAGCCGGAATGGATGCTCTGCGAGGCGTGAGCCGCGAGATTCGCAAGGCCGTTGAGGTGAACGGAGAGACCAGTGAAGCTACCGAAGATGAGGCTGTGAACAAGATCCAGGCCCTCCGGGCAACGAATAACCAGCAGAAGCCTGCCGAGAACTCTCCTATTCGCACCCGCGCAACTGCTGCCAAGCAGAAATCGCGTGTCGCGGGCAGCGATGCCGACTCCGACTCGGGTTTCTCGACCGTCAGCAGCAAGAAGGGTGCCAAGAAGGCGACTAAGGAAGAACTTCAGAGCTCTACCATTGTCGTGGATCCCAAAGCCTCTAACCCGTACGAGGTTCTGGATCGCTCGGCATAAATCTCCGGCAGCGCTGGTTATGGGTGACTTGTCTGGAACCCGAAATCAGTTTAGAAGGAATAAAATATTTTCACGAAGATCAAACCGGGGCTGCATAGCATGTCGCCTCGGCCCGAATCGCTACATCGGCCTCCATCGTGGCGGTTCGGGGATGTACGATACGTCGGTCGGTTTCCCAGGATTCCTCGACCATCCTGCATCTTGCAGGACCCGCAGTTTACCCCCGCCGGGCCCGGGTTGTTCCCTATCTGATGGCTCAGTGTATCCGAAGTGGTCGCCGTTAGACTAGCAGCCTATCCACGGGCCCGGTTGCATACGGTTTCCTAATGTACTTTGCTTCTCTTGAACAGCTTCTCTTGGATTATTTGTCTTCTCTGTTTCACCTCTGCTGTTCATAATCATTCCCCGTTTACCTTCAGATAGATTTCTATTTATCGTGTGTGTACATACTTCTTTTTTTTTGGAACCTCATCCACCGCTGGAGATGGAGGCTGTTGGTTAAGGTGTCGGGACGGAATTGGAAAAGTTTTTGTAATTTACTCGACAGAAACAGTTTGGAATTTACAGTTTCATTATATTATTCGAGTCTCTAATAACCTTCTCGTGGTAGATTTGTTGGAACTGATGGTGGTGTCGTGGTCATGTGCGCGCTGTCTAATTCTGGGTTGCAATCCTGATCTTGCCATCATCATCCTCTGTCGTGTCCACGACCATCCCCATCATGAGTCTCCTCAGAATTCCTATAATACAACCTGTTCATCAAAGAATGGCCTCGCTCAACGGGAGCTCATCCAATTATCTCCTTCGAACCTTTAAGAATACGTTTCCTCGCTCTGTGCTTGGGTTCTGTAATGAAGGCTAACGGGGTGTTGCTTACCTCGGCACAGCATCACTGCGTCAAGACAGGCATTTATCGAGCCATCCGATTCCCCCACAGGAAAATTGCTCCCCGACAATCACTCTGAATGGAGGAAAAACCCGGCCTGGTTTCCCCACAGACCAGGTTCACCCCACATTGGCTGACACCTCCGCCGGACTTGTGCAGTGCAAGCTTGAGTCTACAATGGTTTGGGTCCCTGGGTGTACTCCACCACGAACCCTGTCTCATGTCCTCATTAAGCTAGCACTATCGGCACCCTTTATCATTGGCTCTTCGGCCTTCCTGGCCTTTCGAAGGAAGGTGTAGCCTAGTCCTCTTCATCTAATGAACGAGAATTCTGAGCTCGCTTGGCAGTCGTTAATTTCGTGACAGAGCCATTGTGGATAGTGTCATTCGGACTTACGCTCTCAGAAACTTTCGGAAATAAACTTGAGCTTATGGATTCTACGCCACTAATTCAGCTAGACAGCGGGGCCTGAAGTCATGAGAGTTATGATGCTAAACATTTTTCCTCGATTGAACGCGGGCTATAAATTAGACCTTATGGCCCGGAGTGTCAAAGATGGGTAATCCTGACAGGCACCCATCCCTGCTCCTACATCAGGTCAGTGCAGGGAGCAACCATGACGCGGATCACCAAGTTATGCGTTCTCCTACTCTCCAGTATAGGTCTTCTGGCCGCTGCCCAGAACCAGACGGAGACTGGGTGGCCACTTCACGATGATGGCCTGACCACAGACGTCCAGTGGGATCATTACAGTTTCAAAGTCCATGGTGAGAGGATCTTTGTCTTCTCTGGCGAATTCCATTACTGGCGCATTCCAGTCCCTGGCCTATGGAGGGATATTCTTGAGAAGATTAAAGCTGCAGGCTTTACGACTTTCGCATTCTACTCGAGCTGGGCGTGGCATGCCCCGAATAATCACACAGTTGACTTCTCCACGGGTGCTCGCGACATCACGCCCATTTTCGAACTCGCAAAGGAGCTTGGGATGTACATCATCGTCCGCCCGGGTCCCTACATCAATGCGGAAGCCAGTGCAGGTGGCTTTCCTCTGTGGCTGACGACTGGCGACTATGGAACGTTGCGCAATAACGATTCGCGGTACACCGAAGCATGGAAGCCATACTTCGAGAAGATGACAGAGATTACTAGTCGCTACCAGATTACGAATGGCCATAATACGTTTTGCTACCAGATTGAGAACGAGTATGGCGATCAATGGCTCAGTGACCCGAGCGAGAGGGTTCCCAACGAGACAGCCATCGCCTACATGGAGCTTCTTGAAAGCAGCGCTCGTGAAAACGGTATTCTTGTGCCATTCACGGCAAATGACCCGAATATGAATGCCATGGCTTGGAGTCGCGATTGGTCCAACGCTGGAGGCAACGTCGATGTCGTGGGCTTGGATTCTTATCCTTCAGTAAGTGGCTCGTCGCTATTGATTGAAACTCGGCTCATCTGACTTTCCAAGTGCTGGACTTGCGATGTCAGTCAGTGTACGTCCACCAATGGCGAGTATGTAGCCTACCAGGTTGTCGAATACTATGACTACTTCCTCGATTTCTCGCCAACAATGCCGTCGTTCATGCCCGAATTCCAGGGTGGCTCGTACAACCCCTGGGCTGGGCCCGAGGGTGGCTGCGGCGACGATACTGGAGTGGACTTTGTCAACCTCTTCTACCGGTGGAACATCGCCCAGCGAGTGACCGCCATGAGTCTCTACATGTTGTATGGAGGAACGAACTGGGGAGCGATTGCTGCGCCTGTCACGGCCACTAGCTACGACTATTCTTCCCCTATCTCTGAGGACCGCTCCATCTCGTCCAAGTACTACGAAACCAAGCTGCTATCATTGTTTACACGCAGTGCACGAGACCTGACAATGACTGACCTCATCGGTAACGGAACGCAGTACACCAATAACACTGCTGTCAAAGCGTACGAACTGCGAAACCCTACAACCAACGCTGGATTCTACGTCACGCTTCATGAGGACTCAACTGTCGGCACTAACGAGGCGTTCAACCTGCGCGTCAACACATCCGCGGGTAATCTGATCGTCCCCAGGCTCGGAGGCTCAATCCGTCTCAATGGCCATCAATCCAAGATTATCGTTACTGATTTCACTTTCGGCTCGGAGACCCTTCTGTACTCTACGGCCGAAGTCCTCACTTACGCTGTCATTGACAAGAAGCCCACCCTCGTCCTTTGGGTTCCGACAGGCGAGTCCGGAGAATTCGCAGTGAAGGGCGCAAAATCCGGGTCTGTTGTATCGAAGTGTCAAAGCTGCCCTGCGATCAACTTCCACCAACAGGGCGGTAACCTCATCGTCGGATTCACTCAGTCCCAGGGAATGAGTGTTGTCCAGATTGACAACGACATCCGAGTGGTCCTACTGGACAGGACTGCGGCTTACAAATTCTGGGCTCCTGCTCTAACAGAGGATCCCCTTGTTCCGGAGGATGAGGCGGGTAAGAAATCCCAACAGACTCCTCATAGTTCGAGTAACGAGCTAACCCACGAGTAGTTCTTATCCAAGGCCCGTATCTCGTTCGCTCTGCCAGTCTGGAGAAATCAACACTCGCAATGAAGGGCGACTCCATCAATGAAACAGCTGTGGAAATCTTCGCGCCTGAGAATGTCAAGACCATCACATGGAACGGCAAGCAGCTGAAGACTTCCAAATCCTCATACGGTAGCCTCAAGGCCACAATTGCTGCGCCTGCATCCATTCAACTGCCAGCGTTCACTTCGTGGAAAGTCAACGACAGCCTACCGGAGCGCCTTCCGACATACGATGCCTCCGGTCCCGCGTGGGTTGGTCAGTACATCCTTTACTTCAACCCCTTCAACTCAATACTGACTGCTCCTCCCAGATGCAAACCACATGACAACCGCCAACCCCAGCAAGCCTGCCACACTGCCAGTCCTATACGCAGACGAATACGGTAAGCCAATTCTCTCCCATTCCCTTCCTAACAAACAAACCCAAATACTAACCCGACAGGCTTCCACAACGGCGTCCGCCTCTGGCGCGGCTACTTCAACGGCACCGCCAGCGGAGTCTTCCTGAACGTCCAAGGAGGCAGCGCATTGTAAGCCCCATTCCCCCCTCCCACCTTTACACAATCACATCTAACAACAAATCAAGCGGCTTCTCCGCCTACCTAAACGGCCACTTTCTAGGCTCCTACCTCGGCAACGCCTCCATCGAACAAGCCAACCAAACCTTCCTCTTCCCGAACAACATCACCCACCCAGCCACCCAAAACACCCTCCTGATCATCCACGACGACACCGGCCACGACGAAACCACCGGCGCCCTCAACCCGCGCGGCATCCTCGAAGCGCGCCTCCTCCCCTCCGACACCACCAACAACAGCACCTCCCCCGAGTTCACCCACTGGCGCATCGCCGGCACCGCCGGCGGCGAATCCAACCTCGACCCCGTCCGCGGCGCCTGGAACGAAGACGGCCTGTACGCCGAACGAGTTGGATGGCATCTCCCCGGCTTCGACGATAGCACATGGTCCAGTGTAACATCGTCTTCGAGTCTATCCTTCACCGGGGCGACGGTCAAGTTCTTCCGGACTACGATTCCCTTGGATATCCCGCGTGGCCTGGACGTATCCATCTCATTTTTGTTGGGGACCCCGGACAATGCACCTAATGCGTATCGGGCTCAGCTGTTCGTCAACGGATACCAGTATGGACGGTTTAATCCGTATATTGGTAACCAGGTGGTGTTTCCGGTTCCCGTCGGGGTGTTGGATTATACTGGGGAGAATACGATTGGAGTGGCGGTGTGGGCGCAGACGGAGGATGGGGCGGGGATCACGGTGGATTGGAAGGTGAACTATGTGGCGGATAGTTCGTTGGATGTGAGTGGGTTGGAGACCGGGGAATTGAGGCCGGGGTGGAGTGCGGAGAGGTTGAAGTTTGCTTGATTTAGTTATGAGTATATTGGTGTATAGTTAAAAGGTGAATTAAGGTTCTTGTTGATTGGGTTTTGGTAGTATGTCGTTGTAATTCAAATCGTATTTGAGGATTATGTCTACTTCATGGAAGTAAGCTGGAGTAGATTAAGTGGTCTTGGAAGTTCTGGTGGATAAGTAACAGGTGATTAGGGTTCTTAGTGACTGTATTTGGTAGGATGTTGTATTCCAAATCACGTTGTGTAGTAGATCATGTCTTCATTCTATACCCAAACCATAATAAATTCTCACATCGTAATGCATCGTGCATACTCGTCATGATAGCCAGCTAACTACGTGACCCAAAATCTGATGAATGCTGTGTGCAAAGGTATACTACCCAACCCATAACCGTAACCATAACCGTAACCCGCTCGGGGGTATAAAACAAACCATAACAATCCGTAGTCGTAACAAAACAATCTAAACCAAGAAACGGAAGCCCCGGGAGCTGGCCTGGCCCGGGACACCTCCGCCGTCGCCCAGGCCCTCGCCACGATCGAGCTTCTTGTTCAGTCGGACGAGGATGAATCGGAGGGCGGTGGCAGACAAGATGGCGACGAAGGCGGTGACGCAGTTGACGGTCATAGCAGTGACTAGGACTATTGTTAGTGTCTCTATTTTCATGAGATAGTAGATCGGATGAAGGGTACTTACCGAATCGTGGCGCATCACTGTCGGGATACATGTAACTGGCATAGATACTACTGGCATTACTGACACAGTTGATACCTGCCAGAGCAGCGGCACGCTTCGAAGCGGGACGAGGAAGGGTGCTTGAGATCCAACCCAGGGCTACCACATAGCCGGTGTACAAGGATGGGACCATCAGCATCATAGAGACGTAGCGGGGAGCGATGCTGGTGGTAGTAGCAGCGAGAATGAAAGCCACGACGGAGATGTATAGGGGGAGGGTGATGTGGAAGTAACGCTCGCCGGTGCGATCGGCATGCCAGGCATTGGCAAAGGCACAGATGACGGCTAGGACGTACGGGGGAGCTGTGAGAAGAAGCGTCTCGATGTTGCCGTAGTTGAGGGTCTTGACGACAGTGGGGAAGAAGTTTGTGACGGAGGCCGAAGAGACAATGCACAAGATGAGCAGCATCTAAGTGTGTAAGCTGAGTGAAGAAGAAATGTCTTTGTAACTGAGTACTTACAAGAATCCAGGTCTTGATATCGGTAAAGGCCAATTGCACACCGTGGAGGAAAGTCTGTTGTTCACTGTCCACCCAGTCGTCCTCACCAATGTCCTCTTCCAGCCGCCAAGCGGCCAGCTGCTTCTCTTCTTCGGTGAGCCAAGAAGTGGTTCTGGGGAAGTTGGGCAGAATGAAGACGGAGATGGCGGCAACCACGATGGTAATTGCACCCTCGATGATGAACAGCCAGCGCCTGTTACTCTCAAGTCAGCACTGTCCACGTCTTAGATCTTTTACCATGGGAACTAACCAAGCACGAAGACCCATCTTGTAGTCCATGTTCTCCGTGATACCCGCTGCGATAAGGCCAGAGAACGCTCCTGAAATCAGGGAACCAGAGTAAAGGGCTGCAGTGCGGAACCCAAGTTCTTTGCGAGTGTACCAGGCACTGAGGAAATAAAGACAGCCAGGCTAGGAGGGGAAAATAGAAGTCAGTAAGATGTTTTGGAGTAGATCCTTTTGGAAGCAGTAACGTACGAAATAAGCAGCTTCAACGAAACCCAAGAAGAAGCGAACTACGACCAAGCCGGCATAGTTCTGAGCTCCCGCCGTGCAAGTAGAGATAATACCCCATAACATCATGGCACCAGGAAGGTAAAGGGCAGGCTTTCCGAACTTGTTCAGAAGCAAATTGGAGGGAACTGGTATCGTCAGTGTCTCATGCCCTGACGATGAGATGCCTGTACCTACTTTGCATCAACAGATAACCCACGAACAGAATACTGACACAGGTCTGATATTCCACGCCCTGCAAGTTCAAGTCGGTGACGAGACCAGCGAGTTTGGCAGCAGCCTGATAGCATCCAGAATCGTGAGCACAGGAATGAGAGCATCGATAGACTTCAGCATGCCACTTACGATGTTATTCCGGTCCAGGTAGTTAAGGATATACATGATGATGATCATGGGTAGAAGACGCAGGTCAATCTTGCGGACCAGGGCCTTCTCGGCCCTCTCACGCTCCTCGGGAGAGAGACTGGCCACATAGGCCGGGGCCTCTTTCTTGGGGTTGGGTTTATCGGCATTGGCCACCCCGTCGGTCACGATCTCGACGTTGTCGACATGACTCTTGTCGAAGTCCCGTTCGACATCTTGAGAAGTTCTAGGGGACATGATTTGTCTCCGACGATCTGACAGTAGCCTTCTATGAGGCAAAAAGGAGGAGACAATGACAATGACAATGACAATGACAACGGGAGAATAAGGATAGATCAACAGGAGAGGGGGGGAAACGGTCAAGTAAGGGACGGCAAGGGGAACAAGAGATAGGAAAGATTAGGAAGAGGGAGGGAGAAAGGGAGGAGGAGTAGAGCACGGGATCATATCATGATGGCAGCAGCAGTCGGGACCAAGGGGGCTTTTTGTTGTGTCAGGGAGCAGAGAACCGAGCGATGACGACCCGACGAGGTTCCCGAAAGATGGGGAGACCAACGGGGAAGCGAAGCCGCATGGCAATGGGGATCGGGAATGAATCCAACGATTCCAGTGTCAAGGAATGCCAACCCCGCCAATGGGGAAGACGGAAGCGGGGAGAGAGTCTGGAGATGAGATCAGGATCATTAGGGGAAACCGTCGGGACTGGTGGGATGCCATTTGTGGAGAGGCCCGACTGGCGTGGGGGTTCAGAAGAGAAGAAGAGGATGATGATGATATTATTGTATGGAGCAGAAGGGAAAAGATGGGATGAAAAGAGAGAGAGAGAGAGAGAGAGAGAGAGGGAGCGTGGGAGGCCATCAGCAGCATTCCGTGGGGGTTCCCGAGCGAGGGTCCTCTTACTTTCTCCACTTTCTCTCTCTACTCTCTCTTCTCTTTCTGCACTCCATCCAGCCCACGGGGCACACCTCTGCATCTCATCTAAACCCCCGAAATACAAGATATACATTTATCCATCGGCTAAGAGCTAATTCCTATCCTCTACAAGCATTCTTCAACTCTAACTTAACCCATCTGCATTCGCTCGAGTAACAGAAAACTGCAAAAGCACACACACACACACATACCCCATCCCGCAATCCTCAACCCCAGACCAAAATCCCCCGAGAAAAACTTAAAACCACTGGACGGTGCCAAGGAACCGGCCCGAAAAAAGCTCTCTCACACGGTCGACCCCAGGCGGAAGATCCCTACCCTCAACCCCGGCTCTGGCTTCAACCGGTCATTTTCAAAGGATCAATCACATACTCCTCCGTACTTCCTGATGGATGGATGCAACTCCACCATGGTGGATATTGGTTGGTCATACGGGATACCACCACCCCCTCTTCCCCTTCCTTCACGCAGGAGAGTCACCGCTGGTTTGATTGATCATCATAAGTCCGTCAGCAAGTCCATCTCCGTCATCAATGGTAGGTAGGTAAGGGAGTTAGCCGGCGGACGGACCCGACTTTCAGCGAGGAGAGACCATGGCCATCGGGAAAAGAAGAATACGTACTTACTTGTTTGCTTTGCTTAGCGACACGGGCATATCTCGCCCATGCCGGCTAGATCATCGATTCGGCCCCGTGTGCTCCCCGCCTCCGAACGAGGAAGGTAATGGAGAAAAGTAACTTTCAACGCCACACACACACAGAGAGATCAGGCCATGAAGGTCAGTAAGTACTACGGTAGTAACCCGTCCACGGTTCACAAAAGTACTACCTAGATGGAAAAACAAGTAGCACTTCGTAGGAATATCATAACCCGTGCCCATCGGAATCCCCATGAGTCTAGCAGCCGAGTCTACTTCTACTCGCGTTACCTGCAAGCCTTAGCTACACCATCCTCAACCCCAGTAGAAAGATCCATAGATAATAACCTCGCAACCCAATCTTCCATCCATTCATCCAACCCTCAGAAACAGCCAAGCAAGGTAGCTACTAAACAAGTATTCAACCAATTTACCGTCCCCAGGTCCACCCCTCGGCAAAATGGGGGAGAGCAAATAATCGGCTTCCTTTTCTCTTCTGCCAAGCATGTGTTTCCCCTAACTAACTTACCCCCGGCAACATGTGGCAGCTGATGCCGCAGAGACTTCTTTTCTTTTTTTCTTTTTCTTTTTCTTTTTCTTTTTCTTTTTCTTTTCTTGTTTGATTTATTTCTGTGTTCTCGTTTCGCTTTCCCTCGGGATCTCTCGCGTGGTTTCGGGACCGGGGCCGGGTTTGCATGTAAATTTCCACTCTCTGGCTAACCCCATCGTAGGTGAAAGCGTGGGGGTTAGTTACCCTACCCTTCCTCTTCTCTTGCCCCAGGGTTCTTATTTAGTGGCTGTCGCCGTCTCTTTCCAGTCCGACTTCTTTTTTTTACTTTATTGATAAAATACTTGATTCAATATTATCACGGTAGCTATGGTCTGAAAGTAGAATTACCCTCTTTCTTTCTCTTTGTCGGACACAAGAGTCAGAGGATAGCGGAATTGTTCAAGGAAGTCGAGGGTTACGCGGTTCCGAATTCATCGGGATACACATCTACGGCCGACGGGTCTGCTGACTGGCCAGGCAACCCAACAGAATATTGCGTAAGATGGGGAAAGAAGAAGATGCATTGATAGTGCCAGTCAATGCTCGATGATGATGATGACGATGATGACGCGAGACATTCACTGTGTACCGGTCTCAGAAAGCTGTACACGGACAAAACGTCGATAAAAGAATCGGTGCTTGCAGTAAAAAAAAACAGCAAAGGAAGGTTTCACGATGACACTATGAGACAATGTGCAAAGAGATGCTGCCCAATTTTCACGCTTGCAGAACATAACGAGACTTCAAAGAGACGGTGTGGCTTGCATGCAATGGTCGGCCAGGGATTGGGGCTCGAGGGAAGAAGGAAGACGATTAAAGAGGATGCGAAAAAGCACGAGCTGTGACAGGCCGCCGAGGGGGAAGGAAGTGCAAGAGTGAATCGGTGCCCAAATCCTGGGTGCGACGTAGATCGAAGCCAAATGATCCGGGAACGGGTCATTGACGATGCCTCCCACATCCGATCTACTATTCTTCATTTGCTGTAGTAGAATCCCCATAAATCTCCATGCGCAGAATAACGAAAGAACACGACACAAGACCAAGACCTGAATGTTGCTGTCGCCATAACTCCCAGAACGCGTAGCAAGCAAAAGTAAAAAACACAACAAAGGGGCGGCCCGGTGACATCCGTCCACTCGACGGACAATTAGACACCGAGTCAGCATGGGACTGAAGAGGGAAACCAAAAGACTCTCTAGCGAAAAAGAAACAGGTCTAGAAGCCACCAAGGCTCAATACCATGCCGTTGATAGATCCAACACTCCTCCTAAGGGTAAATAACACAAAACACGCAATAAGAACGCCATTCGAAATGCAGCGGCTCAGAGAAAGTGAGTATAGATTTTTGACGTCTCGTGGACCTCCATCTCCTGTGTCATTGTTAGCACTGGATCAAGTTCACGTCGAAGGGGGGGGGGGGGAAGTAAATTCCTCACCATTTTGAAGTTGTTCAGCTCCTCCTTGATTTGTTGGGCAAGGAGGGGAGTCAACCGGTTGCACGTGGCAATGTCACCGCGTCGATCGTATTCCCCGCTCGGCCATGTTTCGTGGAACTGAATCCGGGGGCTAAACACAAGGCTTTTCGGCATCATAGCTTGTGGGGTAATAGGCGCGCTCTTGGATTCGGAGGTCTGGAACCGCCCTTCAGATAGATAATCATCCTCGCCGGCAATCTTAACCGCGTCGGATCGCCGATTACCTGACCGTGTCTGGTCTTCAGGGGTGCTGGGAACGCTGGAATGCGGCGAGTCATTGCTGTTCAAGTTTTCCGATGATTTGAGCACATATGTCTGGTTAGCCGGGTCCGAGTAGGTCTCTATAGGGTGTGTTAGTACGCGATATATCACAAGCAGGAATCATTTCATCGTAAGCAAAACGTACTCTTCAGGATGCCCTTCCTCACAGCTGCCAGAACCTCCGCTCGCTCCCTGTCTCCTCCGACAATGCTTTTACGCGACTTGTCCAGGGCGCCATCTTCATGACTCACGGCGTTCGCTGCATCGGTTTCCACCTTAGAGAACAACGAGCTACCAAGAGCATGGTCTTGCGAGTCTGAGGTGACGGCTGTGCTTTTCCTCTCCGCTTCAATATTGACCACGGACAGCTGGGGTGCCATAGGCTCAATCATTACACCATCGGTCGAGGATGTGCTCACTACCGATTTCGGGCGGAAAAGCCCTACCAATGACCGCGTCGATCGTTTCATTCCCTTGCCCATTTTGCGAAGCATTATAGAGGCGGAGGAGGCTGTCGATGAAACGGAAAGATTGTCGGTGGAGCTGTTGAATATACGACCTTGGTGATGCGAGGAGTAAATGCTCTCGCCCAGGCCGCTCGCTTCCTGTTGTTCAGCTATGGCTGCCTGCTCTGGACCCAGCTCCTCTTGCAACAATTCCCTGCGAGCCCTCTCCGCGGCCATGGCTTCCCTTTTATTTTGCGAGGAAGCTTTGAGGAGCTCTGAAGCGCTACCAAACGAAAAGGCCCTCCTCAGCCTGGATTTCCCTGGCCGCTTGGGGTCGCCTTTTGTGATTTCGGCAAGACGTTGAGTAGCGAGGCTCTCCGTGGGAGCAGGCTGTGGAGTCGTGGAAGGCTGGGGTGCTTTTGGAGTCGGGGGTTTAGCGTCAACTTCGACCGGCTGAGACAGCGGTGAGGGTTTGTTCGGTCGCTTGCTGTCATCGGTCTTAGGTCCGCTCTTGCTGGATGACGCAGATTCGCTGTGCCCTGCATCGCGTACAGACGAAGTCGAAGAATGGGCGGACGGAATGCTTCCTTGAACTTCTCTGTGAGACTGTGCCGATCGGGGCCGCATGCTCTGATCGAAGTAGTCATGGCCACCTGCTGTCGGCGTCGGCGATGATGTGGGCAAGTGTAGCTGCATATTGATGAGACCAGCGTTATCAATGTTTCCCCAACTCCGGCGCCTATACCTCTTGGCTAACTCTGTCTGAGGCTTATCTGCACGAGTGCTATCATCAGCACTGGGCACGCGGACATGCCCAGGGCGACGGGGGGCATCCAGAGACACCCCCGCAAGGCCAGGAGTGCTCATGTGAAGTGAACTATCGTCCGTAGCCAACGTTGCAGAACGTGCAGGTGCCGGCCCGTTAGGCTGCGTAGAAGCGGGCTGGGCGCCCGCAGCATTTTCCGGTCGCCGGTTTCCACGACGATAACGGTCGGGGGACGGACGGGCCACAGTTGGTGAGGATATGTTCATGAAATTCGAAGAGGAGGGTGAGGGAAGGTTGACTGTCGAGAGCGGGCGCAGGGGAGCATCGGTACGTATTTGTCTGGTCGGAATCGCCGAGTCGTCTTTCGACATGTAGGATTGGACGGAGGAATTGGAGGAAGAAGTGGATACAGAACCAGCTGCAGGATGGGCGAAACGCGAGTTGACTCCGACGTTGGCGGGACTTGCAGACCCCTGAGGCACCGAGGGGGCTGAAGAAGTGCGATGCTCTGGCCTCAAATGAGGAGACAGTGACTGACGGGATTGCATGTTGGTTGGATTCGAGGGGTTGGGGGTGCTGGTGAAGGCGTAGGGGGCCACGACCTGGTGGCCCACTCTGTAGTTTCCCGAACTGCCGCTGTTGTTATAGGGGTTCCAGGACATCGTCGAGTTCCGCGGATTCTGTTGTTGCCCGGGTTGCGAGGAAGTTGTGAAGGTGCCCGAAGAAGAGGATGGTCGGGTTTGAAGCACAGAAACCGTGCCACTTTGCTGGGGGATTGTCTGTACCAACGCAGCCATGGTGTTCTCCTCCACTACCCGGAACGAAATAACATCCGACGCGTAGCTGACAGCGTCTCCGGGGAGAGAGGTGTCGACAGGTAAGCTCGTCGAATGTCTGCAGCGCCCAATCCAAAAGAACCAAGCCTGACGTCGATCAAGTTCGAGGGGAGAGGAAACAAGGGTAGAAAAAGGAGATAGATTGTAAGAAGGCAACAGGGGGAAAGTCTGTACTACACACAGTTGTCAGTCAGGATTGCACAAGAACAAGCCGGTTCAAAGGCTACTAGTTGAACTCTCGAGGACCGATGTTTCTCCAACGCGAATGTGGTTGCCGTTTCGAAAGGGGGGTGTGCAAAGGCAAGCGGCGGAATGGGCTCGTACCTGTTTCTCAGGAAAGATGTCCCCACCGGATTATACTGATACAACAATTAAGGAAAAGCGTTCGGTCGATGTAAAAAACGAATGCTGACGAGGACAAAAGAAACGAAAGGCTTGGATCAGGCGATCGAAGAGGGAGGAGAGCTGGCGACGAGGTACGACGTGCGGAACACAAGGCTCCAGGGATGGCAGAAGCTTTCTAGAGCGGTCGAGCCATGTACAAGAAAAGGAAAAAAGAAAAGGAAAAGCAGAGCTAACAACAATGATGAATAGAGACAAGAAAGGAACAATGCCAAAATCAAATAGGAGATCGAGAAGGAAACGATAACCAGATCCTAGGCACCTTGTCTTCTGAATCAAGCAGAAGACGGGCCGCTCAGGGGGGGGGGAGGAGGAGGGAGGGAGGGAGGTGGGTGGTGAGAGCCGGGAAGGATGGGAAAAGAAAAGCAGAGAGGATGGGTCGGGAAAGGAAAAAGGAAGAAGAGCAAGAGGGGCTGAAGGTGCGGGAGGGAGTAGATAGAAGGAGAGAGGGAATAGAATAGGGAGGAGGAGAGATAATGGGGGAGGGAGAGAGAGGGGAGGGAAAGAATGGGAATGATGGGATGCTGCGACTACAACTTTCTCTCTTTCTCTCTCGCGCTCTCAACTTTAGGGGAGACCGACTGACTTGACAGGCGGAGACAAGCGGACGGGATTTTCCAGAGAACGCGAGAAGGAACGCCAGGCACACACCCTCCCGAACCGTGCCCTGTATTTCCTTTTTACTTTTTGACTCTTTGGTTAGTATTTCTATGGTTATTATTACTTTTTATTTTTATTTTTGTTATTATTATTTCTTTTCCCTCTTCGCATGTCACTTTTTGTTCTTCAGTGATGGTCTTTAAGAATAGCCCATGTATATCTATTTCTTTTTCTTTTTTTTATGTTCGCTTCTCACGTTCGCTCTCTTCTTCAAACTAAGTTCGTTGAACCGACAAGGAGCAGAAAAAAGTAAAGAGATCAATTTGGGGGGGAGGCGCCCGATTAAAAATCCACGAGGGGAAACCCGATTGAAGTGTATCGTATGGACGTAGTAACTATGCAACATACGGATAGGGAAAGAAAATCTTTAATTTTGAAAGGCTCTGATCTGATCTCAAAGGCTCACGTCCAAGTAGGGGTGAGGTATTCTACGATTACTCTTATTGCAGCTGCAAATCATACCAGAAATATTCAAGAACTCACCATGATTAAATCTCCCATATTATTAGTATTATCTTCTCATGAAAGACCAAGGCATAGGGTGTGCATTTTGCTCGGTTCGAGAGAGTGGCCCTCCTTCACTTATCGTAGCACCGAAACTAATATTATCAGGTAGATTAACTGTTCGAACGTCTCCTGAGTCTCTTTCTCTCGCTCTTTTTCTCTTTTTTACCCCCCTTCTGCATCAGTCAACCACTCTGATTCGACCAGCTAGGCGGGTGAGACTAAGACACCTTTGGGGCTGTACGGTAACTCCGGTTCCATATTGGTAACTGGTACTAAACTTAAGCTGGGAAACTAGCGGGTTGTAGTTCTGCGACCGTTGTTGCCATTCGGTAACCATCGTACCGCACATACGATTCGTCCCCAATAATACCTCCATATTACGTTAAGGTGCGGGTCGACCATTCCCCCCCTACAATGGCCTAACCCGACTCCATCCATGGGAGGTAATCGAAGGCGACGCTACTTGAGGACTTGGATAAACGATGTGCGGGTCTGACTGACTGAAGATGTCTTTGCATTCGCCTCATCGGCCCATCCTCCCTTGTTTGATAGGAGATGTTCTTTGTGGGGGATTTGGCCCTCCGACACGGAGAGTAATAGCTGGACCTCTTGCTTACATTACCAGATCTCTGTAACAGTTGGTATTAGTGGTCAACTGCCGAGTACGCGCAATAGTAGTAGTAAGTGGAGGATTAGAGAGCCGAACTCCTTATCTCTTTTCTTTTCTTGTTTTTGTCTCTTTTTTTGTTTTCGTTCCTTCTAAATTTTTTTTTTTTTTACCTTTTCTGGGGGGTTCCGTGCAGTTCTTCCTTAGATCTTTGGCGTGCGACCAACATCGATAATTGACACCAGATGTATTATTATTACTGAAG